GACAGCCACAGAATAGCAGGCAATGAGCTGGGTGGCGCAAGCTCGAGTCTGCGGACGCACAGATGCTTATGGTTCTCGCCGACAAACACTGAATTATGTAGCTGTAACACAAAGACGACTCAAGTCACCCCATGGTCAACAGGAGGAAGAGATGTCTGGGATCCCTACCCCTCCACAGGTTCCTGCAGTGGGGGCACATTACAGGCCCTGCCCATCTGTAACGTGGCCCCTGTGCCACTGGTAACAGCCCAGCCATCCTTCCCTCCCCTTCTCATTAGAAAAGATCAGGAAAACAAGAAAGTTTGGCTAATTTACTGGCTTATGACATGAATTCTGTCTAGAACGACACACAGGGACACATTTTCCATGATGCAGACACACGGGCCTGGAAATGTGCTCACACCAGCCACTTAAATTCCTTTAAACAATTCAGACATGAAGATAATCGATCCTAATTCTTTTCTACGTTATTGACACAATTGACTACCCCGATCCACGGCACTATCTAATAAATCAACACGGGATTAAACCAAGAAGAAAGAATGTGATAAAACGCCATTTGTCCTGGTATAAATCATCAGACTGAGTAACACGAGGTAAGTAACTGCAAAGAAGATTGAACTTCCCCACATAGCCGTGATTGTTATGGCTCACCTAATGTTTCCCAAATTCATAACCGTGGCTGGTGCACAGAGCCGGTCCCCACAAAATCCCGATGTGCCTGTGAGAGCTTGCCTTTCTGGCGACTCTGTAGTGAGAACCACTTTCTAATTAAAGACAGAAAGGGTTGATATGCAGGTTTCGGCTCAATTGCTTTCGATCTGAAGATGTCCATGGTGAGCAATGACTTCATTTACCAGGAATTACCCTTTGTACAAACCACTTCACTATTTAAAACAAACCACATGGATCATCATTAAGTGGGAAAAATTACCAATCTTTGGATATTGACAGTGGCATGGCCCGGTTTAGAGGGCCCTTGTTCCCCAGCCCCTTAATGTGGATTTTAAGTGTTTGACTTTTTGTTAAATTTAGGCTGATGAAAAGGTTTGCAGTGGAAAGGACTTAAAGGATGAGCAGTCTTCTTTAAAAGGAAATGGAAGACACTGACAGTGGTCTGGGAGCAGGGAAAGTGAAGTTAAAGTGCTGCTGATCTTTTTTAGGGTCTGGGAGCAGGGAAAGTGAAGTTAAAGTGCTGCTGATCTTTTTTAGGGAATTAGGACTCACTATGCTACACAGCTCTGAGGGTGACGTGACATGCCGGTTGCACAGAAAATAAACCTCCATCTTTGGCCTCCCAGTGGCCTCACGATACCTGACTAGGGGATGGATGCCCTGTGCTTTGCCCCCATGACTTAGGGTGGAAAAACATCTCTAGATTTTTGTAGTGTGTGTGGATCTGTCTTCTGTCTGAGTTCTGTTATTCTCTATGGAGAAAACAAAAAAATATTTCCTTTTAACATCACTGGTAATAAAACTCCAGATTTGGAACTAGTATTCAGAAATTTCCTTCAAAGCAAGAATATTTAAATGAGTCCCCATTCTGGAACTCTGGGAAGATTCTGTTCTGGAAGTATGTGAATTAGAAGTTCAGTTAGGGGAAGAAGATTCACCATCAAAGAAGACACCACATAAAGCCACTGCAGTAAATCAGGCCGAGAAGTTAAAGCACAGACTCCCTGGACAGCAAGATTAAAGCCAACAGCACCAGCAATCACCTGCTCCTTCCACTGGAAAGTGGTCTACAACCACAGATACATGCCATGTACAGGAGACGTGTGTGTGTGTGTGTGTGTGTGTGTGTGTGTGCGTATGTACCGATGTGATGACGTTGCTGGATCCAATATCCTGATGCCAAAGGGATTATTCAACATCATGCCATCTTGCCATTTCGAACCTTAGCAAATCTTGGAAGTTAAAAGAAAGAAAAAAAAAATGAGAAGGAAAGAAATTGTAACTGCAGGAAAACATCTATTTAAAGGAAAGTTATTGGGAAATATAAACAAATGAAATGGAATAAGTCAAACAATGTAAATGCCAAAGTTGCCTCTTCATTGGCTGGAGTATATGTTATTTGAGGCAAAAAGATTACGTTGTTTTCACTTGGTCATGTGGAGTAGAATTGAATGGTGAGACATCCCAATTGATTTTGTTTTTATGATTTGTCTTAAGGACAAATCTGAGAGAATTTATGAAGAGAGCTTGGATGTCAATACTGAGGTAAAGAAAGCATACAATAAAGTAATTTTCCTTAGACATTAGATAAGAAATAAGCCCTATATGAAACTTTTTTACAGGAAAATATATTTCAGTAAAGATGGAGTGGCTCTGGATTAGAACCTGTACATGTTTTAAACAGCGAGATAAAAGATTCAAAATAAGACTTTTGTGTTTTAATTATCTTCAGATGTGACGACTGGCGATTTGAATGATAAAGGCTTTTGAAATATGTTTATTTCTAAATAGTATAAAACAAAATGTTTCCAGTGAAACTGTTACTTATAAATGTTGCCTGATTCAGTCATTTGATCAAGGTATTTTGACAGTATAGATTAGTTCTCTGCTTATTAAAATTAGATTAGAATATAATAATAGCTATAGATTGATAGCAGATTAAAGGTAGAGTGGTGATGTGTATAGACATGCACAGTCTGTAGTTTGTGGAGATTAAACTGAACTGTTTCACAGTCTTAATCAGTCAATTGACCAGATTGTTAAATAAAAGCAATAATAGGAGAGATTTCAACACCAATTATCATGACAGTAATAGCCAGCAGAGACGACCTTAACGTATATCTCTCTGATAGTGAACCTTCTGGAATTATGGCTAGAAAGCTTGACTCTAAATAAAACTGGCAAAAATAAATGTCTGCCTGTCCTACACTTCAGACATTTAGTGAAACTCTGAGAAAATGCACACCACACCACACACAAACCAGTTTGACATTATGTCACAGCATCACATGATGGTCACTTTCACTGAAAGCATGACAAGTCCTTTCAAAAAGGAGGTGTAGTCCAAAGCACATGTGAAAACCCACCTTCCATCTATCTTCACATGGAACTGCAATGTTGATTCAGTCACTTCTAAATATTTGTTATGGCTGCCAACGTTTTGTTTGAGCCACCCCTCTCCACTGCAGGGTGTTTTCCCACAGGGGAGAGACTGCCCAGAAGATGCTGATAACCCCTGTATTCATTCTGTATACTTCTCCTTTTCATGGCAAGAATGACCTCTCACTCAAAGTCAACACCTTCTTCCCTAAGTTGTGCCTAAATGAGCAAACCAGTCCACCAATCTAGAAGGCTGACACACAGCTGAATTTTTTTTAAAAAGAACACACAAAGAAACTGTGAGAACATTCTATACCTATAGCATTCTGTTTGCTAGGTAATACCTTTCCCATTGATTAATAAACGCCATGAAAGAGTGAATGTAAGAAGCAAAAGATCGACTCATATTAATCATTTGATTCATTCCAACTGAGGCTTAGCATCTGTAGAAATGCTCATTAGGATTTTCTTCTGGTGGGTAACTGATGTAAAACACATACACACATATTTAATATACATTCGCAGCAAAGGCATAGAAATGGTAGAAGCAGATGAATCATATAATATGCTACCAATACACTCTTGAGAAGTGTTTCCTGGCATGATTTACTAAATGAGAAATGGAATAAAACTATATGTTAAAGGAATAAACCAATTTCTTCCCAAGATAATTTTTTAAAGGGCTGTTCTCAAAAAAAAAAAAAAAAAAAAAAAAAAAAACTTGCAAAAGAAAAAACCCCCAAAAAATATTTTCTGGAAGAAACCAACTTGATAACAAATCACCCAAATGTTCAAAACAGAATCTTGACATTTTATGAATACACACACTGCTACAACACAGATTGAAACTGCACATCTTGGGGGGGAGAAGAAGCCTCTCTCAACTCTTGCAAAGGAAGTCCATTAATACAAATACATACATGTTTACAAATGGCGCCCTTAAAGTAAGCGCACAGAAAAGCAGACAAAATGATTACAATCACTGTAAACTTCATAGACCAAGAAGAGCATCCTGGGGAGGAAAAATGATTCCCATCTGCATCACAAAACCCTTCTTCCTGCCAATTCACATTCACAGCCCCTGCCCAATGACAGAGCTGGCCTGTCACCCCAAGGGGTAGTGTTGAGCTGTTTCCCAAGCCAAGTACCAACTCTGGCAGCAGCCCTTCTAGCAAAGAAGGAAAGACAGTGTGCCCCAGGGAAACACCCAGAGAAAGACAGCCCAAGTATATCTAAAGATTCTGAAATGTACACTGAACAGAAAAACAGAATCCCTTAGCAAGACCACTAAGGAGGAGTGAAGAGAGATAAAAGAAACAAAACATCTTTGCACATGCCAACAAAGCCAGCATCCTACACGGCTCACCTGCATCACACCACTGACCAGGAGTTCGAAGGCAGATTCTGGGACTGACACACTCCAGAAATCCAGTGATGTGATCCCAGCCCTAGGGAAGACACACCACCGCAGACAAACTTAAGAAAACAAAAATACTTCCCACACACTCTTTGTTTCACTCCCTATTAAATCAGCTGAATTAAAAAACTACAGACACCTAGAAAGCCTCCGGAAAGATCCAAACTCCGCATCAAAGGGGTCTTGAACTCTGCTTGCCACTGGACTCTCTGCCAGGAGAAAGATGCTAGTTTAAATCATTAAAAAAAAAAAAAGAAAGAAAGAAAGAAAAGAAAGGAAGAAAAATAGCAGGTTTACATTTCAAACTCCCAGTACCCGGGCTCGGAATCCAGTGTTCAAAGTATTCAGACAGGTGAAAAAAAAATGTTCAGCGCGGGGCTTCGGGGCTCCACCAAAAAGAGCACCCCCACCCCTATCTAAACGCACCAGCCCCTCCCCAGACCCCAGAAAGGCAGAAAGTGCCGATGCGATGCGGTACCGAGTCTGGCCGGGCAGGGAAGCAGCCGCCGAGAGGAGATGCGCGCCTTACCTGCTGTAAGTACATAAAAGTCAAGGCACACGATAGCTGGGGACACATGCCCACGTTGGGGAGCGCCACGCAGGTGGCCCCCGTCAGAGGATGCTGCATGGTGTCTCTCTGGCGCCCGCCGAGCACGAGTGGGGAAACTCGCATGCAATCACGTTGCTATTTTTTTTCCCTTCCTGGTCGCTACAGTTTTTTTTTTTTTTTTTTTTTTAATTTGGTGACTATCTAAGTCAAAGCCCGGCGGCTCTCTCTTCTCTCGCTTGCTCTGGCTTCTCCTCTGCCTCCCTCCCCCCACCGCACCCCGGAGTCCCTCCTCCCTGGCTAGCCTGTCCCTGCCTCCGCTCCGCTAGATCCCAGCAGCCTTCATCAGCCTCCAACTAAGAGTCTTGGAGAAACAGGAAACTAGTTGGTTTCCTTCGAAGCTGCACCTCTTTGCTGCCTTGTTGGGCCTGCGTTTCGATTTCCTTTAAAGTGGAAGGTGCCCCCACTGCACCCCACGCCCCCGGGGAAGGTGACAAGAACGAGCAAAGGCAACTTCTATGAAAGGTAGAGGGGCAAAGATGCCCTCCTGTAGACACCGAATAGAAGGGTGTGAGGCTAGGGCGAGAGAGGGAGGGAGGAGGGAGGGGGAGGAGAGAAGAGGGAGGGAGGGGGGAGAGAGAGAGAGAGAGAGAGAGAGAGAGAGAGAGAGAGAGAGAGAGAGAGAGAGAGAGAGAGGTGACTCACAGTGAGGCTTACTCCGTTTGTGCTGATGTTGCCCAGCTTCCCATTTGTCAAATGGGTCCAGGGGAAGGTTTCTGGGTTTTTCTTTCTTTCTGTCTGTCTCTGTTTTTTCCTCACTTCCTTTTTTTTTTTTTTTTTTCCTTTAACGATTCACCAAAATTTAAATTGTGTCTGCTAAAAATCTCCGCGGGGAAGGCGAGCGCGGAGCCCCGCCAGCATCCAGGCGAGCTGGACCATTAACGCGACTGTCCCGCTGGGGCCCGGAGCGGAAGGGAGAATTCGGAGGCGGATTGTTTGCCCGACTGGTCGGCAAATAAACATAGGAAGGGGATTCCCCTTTGTAAGAAGCTGGAGCGCTCAGATGCCGGTCGCTGAGGAACGGGGGTGAGGGCGGTGGGGAGGAGGTCTGCGCACCCGGGCCGGCGGGGCTGCTGAGGTAGGAAGCGCCCTGGGCGTGGGGGCGCAGTTTATCCTCTGGCCTCGCCTTGGCTGGACAGACAGCCGAGCCCCATCACTCAATAGGAAAATCCACCCGGGCTGGCTGGAAATCCAGCCTGTTGGACTCACATGCCAGCTCCGCGGGTGACTGCGAGGGGGCTTCTCCCAGCCTACAATTCCCTCTCTCCTCAAATTATAAATGCGCAGGGTGGGAAAGCCGCTGTCTCAGAAGACATTTACTCCGTAGGCTGCAGTAAGCAAATTACAATGGTTTATTTATTTTATTTATTTATTTATTTTTTTAATCCTTTCCCGGCCAGTCCTCCTTGGCCAAATTAACATTCTACTCTTGCAGGCGGACTCCCTCCTCCCCTTTATTTTATGAAGTAATAATTATTCATTAGTAGATTTCGTTAGTCTTTATCAATAAAACACGATGTGATCTACAAATCAAAAGAAAATATTAGGACTCTAACTCATCCTTGGTCCCCATAGTGGGGGAAGAAAAGAAAGAACAATTTTTGCCAACAGTCAGATCATGATCAGGAATAGTAGCCATATTTTTTAAAATCTGGACTTTGACTAGTGATTGCATTTTCTTTCTGTCTGTTTTGTTTTGTTTTTGCAAAACAAGGGGTCAGCTGTCTGAACAGTATCTTTTAGGTTGTTGCGTTGCAAGAATTCTTGTTGAGAATTTGTGCTGCCATGCGGGACAGAGCCCTCCAGCAGAGTTAGGGATGTCTCAGGAAAGAGTAGACTGGGTAGGAGGACCCTAGGACTGGCCACAGCAGCCATCCCCGTTGAGCCCTCCCTGGGGTCCACCGGACCCTCTGGAAGAAGAATGACTCCTTTGGAACTGAGCTATTGGCTTGCAAAACACAATTCACTTTGCAGGCTAATCAAAATGCTTCCTGAAGAAAGGGAAATTAATTATTCTATAGGTCTAGTTTGTGTTGTTCTGTTTTAAAATGCCATCAATAAAGTCCTCCTATGCCAAACCCTGGGTCCTAATCTTTCTATTTTTCAGCTTGCAAAACCAGTTTCCCTAATCACCTTGGGGCTCATGCATCTCATCAGTTTAAAGGGGTCTTGGGGCAGGGGATTTAGCTCAGCGGCACAGCGCCTGCCTGGCAAGCACAAGGTCATGAGTTCGATTCCCAGTACCAGAAAAAAAAAACCAAAAAAAATACTTAATGGGGACCTAGTAACACATTTAACCCTTTAACCCTAAGCAGAAGTGGATCTGGTGGACTGGGATTCTATAAAGAAGTATTTTGTGCTGCTTTTCTTTCATTTTATATTTTATTTTTTGAGGAGTGGCAGAGGTTCGTTTGAAAAATCCTTGCCTATCTCATCTCTCAGAAATCATATTCATCAGACAAGCTCTGGTTTGCAAGTAGATTCCCTCTTCTGAGCTTTTACTCTTTATATATTTATTTATTTGATGCAATTCATAAAGCCAGAGCGAAAACCACTCCAACAAGCACATATGGACCGAGACTAAAGACTCTGCCTTTCCAATCCTGATTCTGCCTTCCCAGCTCTTTCTTTTGCCTCAAGCAATTTGCTGGACTGACAGGGATTCACCAGCTTTCTTCATTTGTTTTTTCTCAGTTACATTGGGAAAGCCTGTGAATGCCCCTAGAAGAGGACAGAATTTTCCCTTCAGCTCATTTTCATAAGAAACACGATAAATAATACATGGTATTTAATAAGACCTTATCTCAGTGGCTTAATGAAAAACAAATACATTATGCAAGGTACCAATAACTGCTCTCAGCTGACCTGAATCCACACAGCCTTTGCAGCCTGGTTTCCTTCCCAGGTTGAGACCTCTCAGGGCTTGCGTTCCTACAGACCCATTTTGCAATAATGACTCAGACTTTCCTTTACATTTAGGTCCCAGAGTCGGGCAAGCTGGAAATTTGTAAAATTCAACTGTGCAGTCCAGACCTTCTAAATCCATGTCAGAATTACTGAGAGCTGGATTCTATTCTCTGAGCAAGCAACTACAAATGTCCCTTCACAAGTGCACACAGACACGGCCGCACAGGTCGTGAGTACCCTTCTGCACAAACTCATACAGGGGAGCACAGAAGGAATTTTACAGCGGATAACAGGAACAGCGCACTGTGGTAGCTCTCTGTGGACACCTGCTACTGCTCTCTCCATGCCAAAAGCTTGCCAGCCTTCTAGGTAGCATCTGGGATTCCTGAATTTGAATTCCATGTCAACATAGTACACAGAAGCCCCATCATTGCTACATGCTTCAGATTGATTAATGGGAGAAGCGAGCAAAGAAGAATGCCTGGGCCACGGTATCACTTACTATATATGCTACAGAGCATTTACGGGCTGCCCTGCAGCCTTTCAGCTGCAAGAACCTCTAACTGAATGGTTACACAGCCCCTGTAGGAAGCCGAGTAATACCAGTTTTAAATGAAACCTCATTTGAAGACAACAGCCCACGTTTTAATTGGACTCACACAGTAGTATTTGTAACTCTTTCCCCAAATTTGCCATTGATTTAACAGCAGAAAGAGAAAACACTTTCATTCTTTTTCTCCTCTTTCATAATTCCATATTGTAACTTCCTAAGGTATTCAAAATAGCAGACTTTTCACTAAAGGATACTTTCTATGGGAGTCACTGTGCCTCACAGCAAGAGTCTCGTTAGACAGAAGGAAGGACTCTTGAACTAGCATGCAATTGTACTAGAATTAGCTCAGTGATAATGTCAAGATGTGGCTTAGAGGTGTTTTACTCTGATGTCCACATTTTAGTATGGGTACCTACATATCTTCTATCTTTGGTAAAGTGAGAAGCTAAGTAGCTTTAGAGAACTGTATTAGTTATTATCTCTAGTCCCAAGCACTTTGATTGACTTACTTGTTCAAACACTTGAATGCTATTTAGTTAGTATTGAGCTCTTTCCAGGCATTGCTGTGGCCCCTGGGGTTGAAACAGTCACGGAGGACAAAAACAGAATTTACCTTCTGGTGGGGGGAGGAGATGGAATAAAAACAATAAAGATAAGAAATAAACTGCAGAGCATAATAGAAGCTGATGATTGTTGTGGGAAAAAAAAAGCAAGAGGCAAATCAGGCTGAGGGGATTTAGGAAGGCGCGGCTGTGCAGATTACAGTAAATCGTACCTAAAAAGTGTGCTTGGAACCCTGCAGTTTCTGCTTCAAGAAAGACCCCTTGCATGCTTTACCTTTTTCCACTGATTGCCAAGTCTCAAAGTTAACCATTATAGGAATTCTAGAGCTCTCTAGGATTGGTCTACTAAATAATAGTGGCACTTCTCAGGCTGAAAACCTCAAAAGATTCTCACCTGCAACTTTGTCTGACACAGAGTATGCATTCAGAAGATAATGAATTGCAGGCTAGCTGCAACATTTACACTAAAAGACTTCTTGCTGTCTCTTTCTGCTGATGGAATGGAAGGATTCTGAGTTTTGTTTCGACCTCTCTCTACATTAAACCATCCCCTAGGTCTCTACAATGAGTTCTCTGCCCCATGGTCCCTCTGCACTACACTGCTGAAGCTCTGTTCCTCTCACACAATTTTCCAGGCAAAAGGAGGCTCAATCCATGGCAGTGAGTCACAAGGCCAAGGACTCAGCATCACTCAAATGAGCAGTTTCCTCTCTCAGGGAAACAGGCTGCATTGCAGCCGAACCAATTCCAACCATTTAGTGACAATTGCTTTGCATGTAGTGACAGGATTGAGGCTGAAGATTAGAGTACGTTTCTGTACAAAGGACCCTCAAACTCCTCCAGCTTTCTAGGCTGGGGATGGGTTGTTAGTGAGCCTGGGTCTAAAAATCAGTTGCATTTACCAAAGCAGAATCACAAGGGCAGGCAACACCCAGCTTACAACTAGCACACACCAGAAAAGCTCTTTTGAAAATGGCAAAGGTTATTTAGAATCATTTACTATCATCTTTCACTCAGAAGACTGCCATTAATTAATAGATAAAATTGACCAATGAGATGAGATGTCCAACAGTAATCTCTAGAAGTGATGTAACTGAAGAAATGGATAATTTCCAACACAGATGGTGGGAATTAAAAGTAGTGAGATTCTGGAGATGACACTTTTGTATTCATTGTCAAAAATTTAAAATACACATATCTTTCAGGACAACTATTCCAGTTCTAGGTGTCTGTCTTGTCGAAATATTTGAGATGAGTACTGAAACACATGTACACAATATTCATTCTAGCACTGCTTGTAAAAATAAATAATCAAAAAGAACAGGAAAGAGTATTAAAGTAATACATATGGATACAGTGCACCTGTTAAAAAGAAAGAGGAGTAACTATGGGTCTTCCTTTCAAAAATTTCAAAAAAAGGATCTCTAATAAGTTTTAGAGTACATATAATAAAATTTCATGTATGAAAACTAAACCA